TTGGAACGCTACGAGAGTGGCATGGTTTGCGTCAACTTTGAGTCGGACAGTGTGCGGTGGCCTCCCGATCAATAGGGATCGGGTCGTATAGTGTGCGGCGGCTTAGTGCTGTGCACAGTGCAAAATCGGATAGTGTGCGGCTAGCATAAAAGCGCTAAGTCAATTAGGGGCCGAGTTAGAGAGCGGAAGAGAAATATGATCGAGGTCAAAGTAAAGGTCAAATAAAGTTCGCAGTGACCTGGTTTTGGTACGCTGCTCACCTTCTCCCCAAGATGTGTAAGTATACCAAGTTTGGTAGCGCTAGATCAAACCAAAACCAGGTCACTGCTGCTTTTATTTGACCTTGACCTTGACCTTATCATATTTCCCTTCCATCAATGTCAAATAAAGGTTGCAGTGACCTGGTTTCGGTACGCGACACACCTTCTCCCCAAGATGTGTAAGTATACCAAGTTTGGTCGCGCTAGGTCAATTAGGGGCCGAGTTATAGAGCCTTGCCCCCGTGTTCTCCCCAAGATGTGTAAGTATACAAAGTTTGGTCGTGCTAGGTCAATTAGGGGCCGAGTTATAGAGCGGAAGGAAATATGATGAAGGTCAAGGTATGTAGTTGGCGACAACTGCCCTTTCTAGTTTTATAACAGTTTTTGGCAGCCGATCTACTATCTTTGTTAAGCTGTACGATTATCACGAAATTAAAATATTTTTATGGTACAAGTAAAATTTGATGGCATGTTTCTGAGAGCTATGCAATGATTCGATGCATTTCTGGTTGGGTAATTTTTACAGAAATATCTGCTTTCAGGTTTGGGCAATAGCAAACCTAGTCACTGGTACTGGTGCAGTCTGCAAGAGATCAGGAATCACCTTAGAAAATCCTGTGGGAACAGGATGGGATGTGGGAATAAGGGTGAGAATTTTTGCCTAATTTAGAATGAAATAGACTCAAAACATTTGTTTCACACCTATCTATTTGTTTCGTTAGTTTTCACTGTATGCGTCTATCTTACCTGTTTCATCTAATTTTTAATTCACACCCTGACAACAAGATACTGTTCCTGTTCCATTTTTACTTCTGTCTCACATGCAACACATGTCATGAATGCATACATTCCATGTCTGTTTTTAAATAAATTTAACGTTGATGCCGTTGCTTGCTTTACCTAGGGTGGATGGTCGCACATCTCAACCAGGGGCTGCGTGGCAGAAGAGGCCCTGCTCTGTGATGAGAGTAACGAGGTCACCGCAGATTTTGCACCCAGTATGAGCACCTCGGACGTTCGCAGCTTAAACGTCATCACCTGAACAGTCATAATACTACTGCGTATCAAATTGCTTGGGCTTAGTGGCTGCCCGAAGCTATAACACGAGATGTGTTTTCAGTGCCAGGATTATGAAATTCATTACGTGAATCGTGAAGGATATCCAGTTGTGTATAACTGGCTGCAGTACTCAAAAGCATCTTGTAGGGTGTAGACAACATAGTCAGGCAATGCAAGTTGTCCATCCCGAAGTCAAATGGAAATAGAATCTTTCTAACCAAAGATATAGAGAAGAACTAACACATACGGTGACACGGGAGCATCCATCCAGTCCCGTTGTACTCTCCTTCTTTATACGCTCTTGATATAATATATATACATATATAATCTTCTCACTCACTCATTTGTGTCCTTTTTGTGGTGAGCTACAGTGTCATTGATACTTTCATATTTATAAGTACTCGTGTGAGTCCGATAATATGCCATTGGTTTTGTTGGTATTTAATATTTGGTGTAATTCTTCTGCAGGGTCTGTCGTGGTCACACGTTCCCGCTGACCAGCCGTTTGTTCACATTAGCGTGGGTGGATCCTACAGAGTATGGGGCATAGCCAAAGATGGCTCAGCCTGCTTGCGAAATGGGGTGCTGCCTCAGCTACCAAATGGTAAGCATTTATTGTGTGCCTTAATATTGTATATAATGCATATATCTCAAACCTATTTGGCTAAAAGTTCACTGTATGTGTTATTTTGCACATAGGTGACATTGTTGGTGTTTGCATTGAATGCCAAATATTAATTTAACATGGGGTTGTCAACTTGAGTGTGTATACCAGCTATATTGAATACAGTTAACAACGTATACAAAATATATAAAAGGTTGTGCATTTTCCAGGAACGTGCTGGTTTCAAGTGCCACCTCCACCACATCATAAGCTCAGTCTAGTGTCGGCTGGGAAATCTACTGTTTGGGCTCTGGACACCGTCGGAAACCTATACTACCGTAAAGACGTACTTCCCATATTTCCCGAGGGAACAACGTGGCAGTGGGTGTGTGCTGGAATCCAGCATGTATCAGTCGGACCACATGACCAGGTTTGGCTACGTTACCGCAATTCATTTTACAAATTTCCATTGATGTGCCCGTGAGAGGTATTTTTATTCCTTACTTTTATTCATTCTGTATATTGCTAAGAAAAAAATTTAGGTAGCCAAGTATGACTGTTAAATATACGTTTGTGATTCATGTGTGAAATGGTGGTATTGGCTGTGTCTATGGGTTGTAGATCAACTGAATGTTTCAGTGCCATTCTGTGCTAGGAAGTTTGCTGTGAACTATATTTGTATCCCCCGCGACGAAGTCGGCGGGGATACTATGATTTCATGTCTCCCCAGCCACCGCCGCCGCAGACAATTTCCCTTCCGCTCTATAACTCGAACCCTAATTGACCTAGCGCTACCAAACTTGGTATACTTACAAATCTTGGGGAGAAGGTGAGCAGCGTACCAAAACCAGGTCACTGCGACCTTTATTTGACCTTTACCTTGACCTTGATCATATTTCCCTTTCACTCTCTAACTCGGCCCCTAATTGACCTAGCGCTACCAAACTTTGCGCATTATTATACTTACACATCTTGGGGAGAAGGTGAGCAGCGTATCAAACCAGGTCACTGCAACCTTTATTTGACCTTTACCTTGACCTTTATCATATTTCCCTTCCGCTCTCTAACTCGGCCCCTAATTGACCTAGCGCTACAAACTTGCGTATACTTCACATCTTGGGGAGAAGGTTGAGCAGATACCAAACCAGGTCACTGCGGCTTTTATTTGACCTTGACCTTGATCATATTTCCCTGTCCGCCCTTCTATAACTCGGCCCCTAATTGACTACGCCGGACCAAACTTGTATACTCTGCATATCTTGGGGAGAAGGTGTGTCGCGTACCGAAACCAGGTCACTGCAACCTTTATTTGATCATTGACCTTGACCTTGACCTTGACCTTGACCTTCATTATATTTTCCCTTCCTCTATAACTCGGCCCCTAATTGACCTAGCGCGACCAAACTTCGTATACTTACACATCTTGGGGAGAACACCCGGGGATGTAGTTGGCGACAACTGCCGCTTCTAGTTTTATAACAGTTTTTGGCACGCCATCTACTATCTTTGTTAAGCTGTACGATTATCACGAAATTAAAATATTTTTATGGTACAAGTAAAATTTGATGGCATGTTTCTGAGAGCTATGCAAATGATTCGATGCATTTCTGGTTGGGTTAATTTTTACAGAAATATCTGCTTTTCAGGTTTGGGCAATAGCAAACCTAGCTCACTGGTACTGTTGCAGTCTGCCAAGAGATCAGGAATCACCTTAGAAAATCCTGTGGGACAGGATGGGATGTGGGAATAATGGTGAGAATTTTTGTATTTTAGATGAAATAGACTCAAAACATTGTTTCACACCTATCTATTTGTTTTGTTAGTTTTCACTGTATGCGTCTATCTTACCTGTTTCATCAAATTTTTATTCACACCCTGACAACAAGATACTGTTCCTGTTTCCATTTTTACTTCTGTCTCACATGCAACACATGTCGTGAATGCATTACATTCCATGGTCTGTTTTTAAATAAATTTAACGCTTGATGCGTTGCTTGCTTTACCTAGGGTGGAGGTCGCACATCTCAACCAGGGGCGGCGTGGCAGAAGAGGCCCTGCTCTGTGATGAGAGTAACGAGGTCACCGCAGATTTGCACCCAGTATGAGCACCTCGGACCGTTCGCCAGCTTAAACGTCATCACCTGAACAGTCATAATACTACTGCGTATCAATTGCTTGGGCTTTAGTGGCTGCCCGAAGCTATAACCACGAGATGTGTTTTCAGTGCCAGGTTATGAAATTCATTACGTGAATCGTGAAGGATATCCAGTTGTGTATAACTGGCTGCATACTCAAAAGCTCTTGGAGGGTTGTAGACAACTAGTTCAGGCAATGCAAGTTGTCCATCCCGAAGTCAATGGAATAGAATCTTTCTAACAAAGATATAGAGAGAACTAACACATACGGTGACACGGGAGCATCCATCCAGTCCCGTTGTACTCTCCTTCTTTATACGCTCTTGATATAATATATATACATATATATATATATATATATATATATATATCAGGAGTAGATAAAGGGAAGGAGTGTGACTCCATAAACAAGGAAATTGCGTCATTTACTCAGCCTTATAATACTACGCATTTACTACGCGTAACTCATCGCAACTTGAGCTCAAATCGGACACAGTACATTCGACCATCATCAGTACCAGATCGTTTTCCTCGTAGACACCCGCAATCCGGAGATACAGACTAAAACATACGACACGATTCTCCAATCTTTTGTCCATTAATCAACCGTAGCAATCGCCTATGATTCAAACAAAAAGGCAGCTACTAACCACACTGTCCACCGGCTTGCGCGCTCACGGGCCGAGCCGCTGTGGCTCGCAGGGTGATTAGGCATCAACGCCAACACTCGGCGAGATAACTTTTGACCGCGGTATACAACTACAATGTATGGCCTTATGCGGCAATACAGCTGGCATGCCCCCATACCCACGGCACGCACGCCATATCGCCTATCAGCAGCAGATCGATTAAAATCTCCCTGCGAGCCACAGCGCGGCTCGCCGTGAGCGCAAGCGTGGACAGTGTGGTTAGTAGCTGCCTTTTGTTTGAATCATAGGCGATTGCTACGGTTGATTAATGGACAAAGATTGGAGAATCGGTGTCGTATTGTTTTAGTCTGTATCTCCGATTGCGGGTCTGCTACAGGAAACGATCTGGTACGATGATGGTCGAATGTACTGTGTCCGATTTGAGCTCAGTTGGATGAGTTACGCGTAGTAAATCGTAGGTATTATAAAGGCTAGTAAATGTACGAATTCCTTGGTTTATTGGAGTCACACTCCTTCCCTATTATCTACTCCTGATATATATGTGATATATGTATACACAAAATATGATATTAACCAGACAGGTTAATAATCATATTTTGTGTATACATATATACATATATATATATATATATATATATATATATATATATATATGTATATATATTATATCAAGAGCGTATAAAGAAGGAGAGCGTACAACGGTGAAATGCTGAAACCATATGTTGCAGTATTAGTCGAATAAAGAAACTTTGCACGTTTTATTTTGACGATTATTTGCGGTATTATTGATCAGCTGTCCTACCTTGCTAATATAAAACAAACCGCTTGTCCCTACGATGCTCCTACGCTGAGATAATGAGCGGTGAAAAGCTGGTATTTTCGCCGAAAACCGACTCGAGATCACTGTTTACTGCGACCCTCTCTCGCTTTGTGGCCAGTGTATTGCTTCCGGTCGCTGCTGGGTAGCGCTGACTCACGTCAGTACTACAGAGTTTACTATACATCCAGCGTGAGATGGGCACAGGTGGGGGTCATCACTATGGCAATCGATAACAGACGTCATTCATTCCATTTGTCAATCATTGACGGAAACACGCGAGGTTTCCCGAAGTTATCTCAAAGCGAGAGACAGTCGCAGTAAACAGTGATCTCGAGTCGGTTTTCGGCGAAAATACTAGATTTTCACCGCTCATTATCTCAGCGTAGGGGCATCGTAGGGACATGCGGTTTGTTTTATATTAACAAGGTAGCCGTAGGACAGCTGATCAATAATACAAAGAATCGTCAAAATAAAACGGGGAAAGATTATTAATTCGACTAATACTGCAACATGGTTTTAGCATTTCACCGTTGTACGCTCTCCTTCTTTATACGCTCTTGATTATATAGATATTCATATATAAAATTGTGTATATAAGGTTTTTAGTCATGCTCTGTATATAGATGAACTGTGATTGATGGCATTGTGTGCGGTAATTGAATGTACTAGCTACGACTTTTCACTTGTTTTGTACATATTTGTTTTGGGTGGAAATAAGTTACTTGATTGGTTAAGTAATTCAAGACTCGGGCTCGTTTAGTTTGAAGTAATGCATATTTGCTGCTGTCCCTTGCTGTGAAATCTGCCAAAGCTCAAATAATATTTTTTAGAGCAAGGAAAGTGTTGCCTTCAGTATAATTAGTTATAGTTTTTAGAATGCCACAGCAAATTGAGGATTGGGGGAACCAAAACAATCATTTACTCCAGAGACGGGTTATCAAGGGTACTTGCTTTTTAACAACACTTTTTATGTGGACCTTGGTGTAGTACATACTACATACGCTATATGGAATTAATGCGATGATACAGAGGCTTATCTAGGTAGGGCTGCCACGGTGATTCATTGGCCGTGGCCCGTGGATATCCTCCAATTTTCAGCGGCAGCGCGGGAAGTAAGGCAAGCAACCACGGCCATTTCAGGCCAAGTAAATGGGGCAGTAAGATTATGTGGGGTGCTACTAATTATGTTGGGATGTTGCATTGCTTCACAATCTTGCACTATATATGCATTTAATGGCAAATATTATTGTACTCTGAACAATGAGTTGTTTGACATAACATTATCGTGTAATATATCAATAAATAGCAGTTTATATCAATATTAGAAATAGTTGCTCAATAATTTATGTCAATTGAAATTAACGCTGATAGGGTCTATGACATGTCCCCCAGGGTACTATCGGAGGGTACTCTGGGTACGGTTCGATATATCGGAACGTACCCTGGTACTATCTAATATGCCGGACCGTACCTCGCCTACTCCACTAACGAGTCTAGGGAGTCGCCTACTCCCTAACCCTAACCCTAACCATATCAGATAGTTACCAATACCACTACCAGGTTACGTCCCGATATATCGAACCGTACCCAGGGTACCCTCCGATAGTACCCTGGTGGTGCATATAGACCCTACATGAGCGAAATTGGCCATTAATTGTTAATTTTCTATGTTATAGGGCATGTGGCCAGGTTCAATTATTACCGTTTTAAACGCTAGATGTCGCGAGAAGGTTGATTCAACTGATGCCCATTCTAATCTAACCCCGTAACGATCAGCTGTTCAGAGCAGAACATGTGTTTGAACAAAGCGCCGTTCTAAAAAAACGTGATCAAGATATCCTGCTGTCTTTAAATACATGGCCGTTTCTTGAAACCCACGCACGTGCACGTGTTCTAATAGATAGATATGATACTATATAATAGGTATATAATATATCTATGCTTCGTCTATGCCTGGTGTGCCATGCAGCGATAGCAGAACGGCGGCGCTAGTATCGCTCCGCCTTAGTAACCTCTGGTAACGTCAACGCTGGAAAGCATGACAGAAGTCACGTGGCGCTTTCGTTTGTTTGTGTTCGCGTCTGCGTCGTGCGCAGTACGGGGTTGCTCAGCTTCGAGGCAGAGCCAGCGGATTTGTGCGATCTGGGCATCGTTTCTAAGTAAAATTGTGAGTGTGTGATACAGTTCTGCGTAAGCAGGCCAAGATGAGCATCGCATATCTACTACAAGCAGCAGAATATCTTGACAGGCGAGAACGAGGTAAAGTAACACCTAACAGCATTTTGTTTAGAACGCCGCAATTGTTTGTGATTTGATACATTCAAACACACATGTTCTACTCTAAACAGCTGATCGTCGATCATCATCTTCTTACAGAATCGGAACATGGTTACGCTTCCCCGATGCCAATTCCAGAAGATCATGCAGATCTCGTTAGAAGGCACAGAACTGGGAAACCAGCACATCATAAAAAGACTATGGCTTACACGGGGATGAGGTGAGTAAAAAGGCTTAGTGCTTTGTGATGTTTGGGCGGGATTAATAATATGGCGCGCGGCCGGGTGTGTGAAATCGGCCGCATCTGTCAGTATGTTGTTGGGTGTGAGTGTATGTGTGGTTCCGTTGTTCGCGTGGCGTGTGCTTGATTGTGGGCAGCTGGTTGAACAATGGAGCCCGTTCGATCTCTGTTTCATGGCGAACAATATTTCGTTTGGTGTTGGCGGGATTTTGGTACTGGCTGACTGTACTGTGTTTGAGCACAGATACTGTATTCCTGCATCTATGACCAACACAACGTCCGTGGTTTGATCTATCATTACCCCAACCACTTGACGTTACAGTGCGTGTGGCCGCAGCTAGGAAATTCCATTATTGATCTTCATGCTGTAGTCGCCATTTTACTGTACATGTTCCCGCATATGTGCTACTGGTTAATAGTAATATTTTATGTAAGATATTATCTATTATTCAATATATTTCTACAGCTGAGTTATATTTTGATAGAACGTACATGCCTATTCTTCAGTAGGTCCTACCAGCTCTCAGTGAGCATTAAATTTATAAATATCACAACTATGTTTTTGCTTAGTTATGCCATGGTCATATTAAATGTATCGTTGCCACCCTATCCTAGTGTGCTTTGTAATATAAAGACTACTTACATAGCCACGGATATTTTCTTATTTTGAAAAATTTTGGTCATAATTTTGCATTTATTTGACATGTGAACTAATATTTCTCAACCTCCTTTTCGTGTGACGAGAATAAGCGTACGTAGTTTAAGGTAGTTAAAGTTTTAAGGTAGCCACTGTATTGCATCTGTGCTGCTTACTATATTTATATTCTTGTCGTTTGAATGTATCCCATGCAGGCGTGCCGGAAAAGTACAAATGTGCTACTTTCGATCCCTGCCATGTGTTTAAATCTTATTTGTGGATAAACGTACAAACTATGATGTGGTACACATTCCTGTAAAATTGTTCCACACACAACACGCATGTACCGACGCACGCACGCGCAGATACACATATAAAGACACACACATGCATATATATACGCGAATACGCACATACGCACATAATTATACACAAACAAAGATACGCACATGTATGTACTCTGACACACTGAGTCACAGATACACCTACGCGCACATTTATACATGCACTTGCATGTACGCATGGACACACGTAAAAAGACAGGTACAGAGCTGTACGCACACACACACACGTACGTGCAGATACACGTTCCAACGCATACATACACGCACACGCGTGTCTGCGTGTATGTATAGATACACACAGATACACATACAAACAAACGCTTATGTATACACGCACACGCCCGTACGGACACGTACAGACACGTACAGACACATACACAACATGCGACCCTGGTAGGCGAGCCAAGATGGGGGTGCTCTAGAACATACACGTGTTTTTTCCGATACAAATCATGCGTTAGAAGCAGCATGGCACAGGCTGGTACAGCAGTACTGTTTATACATCCCCAACTAGCATGCATGCACACGCGCACACGCGCACGCATAAGAGTATGTACAGCGATTGATTTTTCACCGTGGGTACAAATTATCATAATGATATAGACGGCCAGCGAGCCCTAATAGGGATCCTACTCGAAGTCTGTAGGATGTGCAAGAGATGGTAGGTGGTGTTGCACGCTGTACCGTGTTATTACTCCCCACGCATGTATTTTTGGCTGAATAGAGTTGTTAGGGTGAGTGTGTCCACATGCACATGCATGCTCACACAAGGCACATCAGCCTTGACCTACCGCAACCCAGCTGTGGTTTTTCGGGGTGCTGGCTGGCCCGAAAATGGTGGATATTGGTTATATTAGCAGAGAAAGGTGTTGTACATGGAAATTGTTTATCTGACAGGCACAATTCGTTTTTTATATCGTATCCCAACCCTCGACCTTCAAGGTAGAGAGTGCCTGGATGGCGTGGCCATTTTTCAACTTGTGTAGAAAAAATGTCGAGCTGGTGACCCTGGCTGATCTGAACAGCTGTTTACCGAATTTATTGGCTGAGCAGTTATTGTGTTTGTACCATTCAACGCTCCTTTCAAGTCGGCTCTGCGTGGGGGCAGGGTAGTGCCTTCCCCAAAAAAAACGGTTTGCAGTATAACAACTTGGAAATCATATCAACATTACCTACACAATTTTCCGGTAAAGTCAAGTATTCACATTTTGTACATTTTATTCTACAGCACTATTCAGGGTTAATTCCAGCCATTAAAATCATGCAATTCGGGGTAAAGAACGTTAAAAAGTATGCTTATTTGTCAATAAAACAATCATAAATTAGTCTTAAATTGAAATATAAACTCATTCTGCATGTGTTGTATTTCTTGAAACCACAAAAATACTATTCCCTCGTCATTGCCCAGGTCATAAAATTCCCCCTCTAGTGATTTGCTTATTGTAAAAGCAAATGTCAAAGTTAACATATTTATACTTTTCACAACGAGCAGATTTGCTGGAAAAATCAAAGTAATGTGCAGTTTTTCCGTTGAAAAATATTGGGAAAGAAAATGTTTTTTAACACCTATTCACTTGGTATTTTGCTGTTATGCTGCCTAACCTTGCGAAAGACTCCCCCTAGATTGAGAAAGTACTTAAACCTGCAGCTATGAATATTATCTCTTAAACCCTGGAAAATCGAAGGCCACAATTAAAAAAATATTTGTTTGCCCTCACCCGACCCAGGCTGAAAAGTTTGGGTAGGTAGGTAGGCTTTTTTTTTCTTTTCAGGGGGGTCTTTTTACAAATTCAGCATGGTGTCTACATGCTCGGGTGTGCTTGTGTGGAGATACCTTTTATGTTGAACGTTTGTTTTGCTTGGTACATAATGATATAATGTATTGCCTACAGATTTATAAAATGTACAGTGATGCAATTTGTAAAAAAAAAAAAATGGAAAAGATCAATAATTTTTTTTGAGTCGGCCCCTTTTTGGCGGGTCGGTTGGGTGAGGGCAAACAAACAATATTTTTATTATGGCCTAAAACCTTTACGGAAAGGTACATTTTAGCTGTCAGAGGAAAAGTGGGAGTTTTCCCCTAATTTTGGCCCCTGTGGGGAAGTTTTTTTACAGTCAGTTAAAAGCAAGCAGTGTTCATATAACCTTTTAGTATTATTTCAGCTAAATTTTAAATGAGTCACTTCGTAAGATTGCTTTCATGGGCCTCTTTGTTGAAATCTGAAATTGATTTTGTTTAATAACGTATTGTATTGCTTGCCTCTTATGTGCAAACAAATAAGAGATGTCTGTTCAGGCTGGCTATTTAGCATAAATATATCAGAAGTAGATAATAGGGATATATACATGTATCCAAATTACCCAAGTGAATTTTTTTTCTATTTTTCTGTATAATTACCATTTTCTTGTGTAGCTAAAGTACACATTCTTTGATATTCCATCTACTCATTACCAGGTAAAACATTTGTTTGAAACGGATAATTTATGGGGAATAAATGGCATAATGCCAAATAAGAGCATAATCTGGAATGGTTTGTGATCTTTATCTTTCAAGTTTGCCTAGTCCATGTTTGCGCAATCTCGTTTGTCATACTTTCACTTTTTCGGAGCCAAGGCAATGAATTTTCAGCGGATGTGAATGAGGGAAGGTGACTTTGATATTATTGGGGCTTCGTCTAAGTTGTCATGCTCTCGTTTGCGACCACGCTAATAGCGTTTTGTGCTCATCCTGCAGCTGAAAAAAACGAGCTGTGCACAGCCATTCGATTGTGTCGTTGCAACAACGCATATTACAGAACGCACGAGATGAGCGTGTGATCAGCTGTATTACATGCGTCTCTTTCCTCCATTTCAGATCCTCTCACAACGAATTGGAAAAGAACAGGTAAGAAATGTTAACAGTCACATTTTTGTCACAATATGAAATGCATCCATGGCCTGCAAGTTACTATTTTCCTCCACTGTGTCGCCTGCCTCTCGAGGTTGCAATTATGGCTTCAGTTAGCGTTGGTAATAGGTCTGTCAAACGAGACACTGGCATAACTAACCACAACCCGCCTATCTGCAATGCTTAAGTCGTGAGCTACATTCGTCAGTGAACTTAGTATCCCATGTGGAGGGTCATAATTTTGGTTCACGCTGAGAGAAGGCGGAACGCAGCAGCTGAAAGTGGCCTGACCATACCGTTTTTGGATAGGATGCCCTGGCCATGTCAGGGGTAGAGACGGAGGAGTAATTGCGCTTCCTGGTGCGGTACAGTTAGTAAAAGCTGCACGTGTGTGAGAGAGGCTTGCTTGCCCTGGCTGCGTGTTTACTTGCATAACATTTTTCAATTAGTGATGATTGGCAGGCACAAGGTTAGACCAGTACACCAGATTGCACTCATAAATAGTGTAATGATTGTGTACATGTAATTCCTGCTCGGGGTTTACAAAAACAAATAGTACATGTGTTGTCGCATATTTTCTTTTCCCATGATTTTACTGTCGGGTGCGTATTGGATGTTTACTATCGAGAACATGATATAGCCCCGTATAAATGGTATATCAAGAGCGTACAATGCCAATGGTGAAATGCAAAAACCATGTTGTAGTTTTAGTCAAATTAGTCAACTTTACGAGTTTTATTTTGATAATTATTAGAGATTAGAATTATTATTTGAGTATTATTATTCAGCTGTCCTTCCTTGATAATTAAAAACCAACCACTTGTTCCTACGGTGTCCCTACACTGAGATAATGAGCAGTGAAAATCTGGTATTTTCGCCGAAAATCGACTCGATATACGTAGTGGCTGCGACTGTCTCTCGTTTTGTGGACTGTATATTGCTTCCGGTCGCCGCTGTGTAGCGCTGACTCGATACGTTATTACTACAGCGTTACTACATCCAGCGTAAGGGGCGGGTCATCACCATGGCGATAAATAACAAGACGTTTTTGTGAAGTAATGGCTGCGTCAATGACTGGAAATGCGAGAAAAGATAGAAGGAAAAGAAATTTCATTGTCAATGAAGGACGGAAACACGCGAGGTTTTTCCGAAGCTATCGCCAGAACGAGAGACAGTCGCAGCCACTACGTATTTTGAGTCGGTTTTCGGGCGAAAATACCAGATTTTCACCGCTCATTATCTCAGCGTAGAGGCATCGTAGGGACAAGCGGTTTGTTTTATATTAGCAAGGTAGGACAGCTGATCAATAATACCACAAAGAATCGTCAAAATAAAACGGACAAAGTTTATTAATTCGACTAATACTGCAGCATGGTTTCAGGCTTTCAGCATTTCACCGTTGTACGCTCTCCTTCTTAATAAGCTCTTGATATGATCTTGATACTATCGTAGCTGGTGTAGCTGACAAGAAACAAAGACAAGTTCCCGAGGTTTTTTGCTTGAGCAAAACATCAGTTAACAGGCAAACAAAGTTATTAGGCCTAAGATCAAATATTGCTTGTTTCCCCTTTACCGACCGACTCGCCAAAACGCCGAGCTACTCGACACATTTTATTAGCCGATTAAAACAAAACAAAAATTATTTCGTTTCGGCAAAAAAAAAAAATCAAATTCGTTCCGAAAAAACATATATATATACACAAAACAGAATGTACAATATACCAAGAGCAGATAATACACATGTGTATTATCTGCTCTTGAATATACATACACACATCTTGTCGGCCTTATAACATGGTGTTACATAGAGTGTACACTTTAGTGAATAGTCTTACACATTCCAGTGAAGAGAGCTCGCGAGATAGAAAATTGTAAACTACAACTTAGACCGCCACGGCAGATGTTATCGTTACTGTAATTGTTAACGCAAGTTTCACCGATTTCTTTTCTTGATCCCTGCTATACATATTATAACATAGTATTTATTAGCTCATCTGACGTAGTCAGGTGCGGCTTGTAGAATCGCATGATTGTCCGTCCGTGCGTCCGGCTGTCCGTGCGTCAACAGTTGGGCACAAATTTTAACCACCCGACGTACGGTCACGATATTCGGGACGTGGGGGGGTAATCCGAAAACGAGTTGGGATGTCGAAGCTCGGGGTCAAAGGTCAAAGGTCAAAGGTCAAGAGGTGTAAAAGAAGGGGGAACATTCCATCTTTAACTTAAGCCGTTAAGGTATAGGGAGGAAATGCAGAATTGCGACACAAATCTAAACGGCTCGACCTAGGCTCGTGATAGTCGGTGTATAGCATCATGGTAGGAAAAACCATCACTGTGCCGAAATTGGAGGTCACAGGTCAAAGGTCAATGGGGCACAGGGCAGATTTTAGAAATTTTCTGAGGACATGGTCTGACGGAGCGATTGAAAAACTTTTTTGTTTCAGCGGTGACCTACCATTTTTATGGCTTTATTGAAAGGACCATGAAATGTACTTTCTTCTGACATGCGAAGAGTAAATGTCGGATAACCTTTTGACCCTCAAGAGGAGGGTTAAACATTGATTTGTTTCTCAACTGCGTTGGCGAGTACCTGTGGTTGTGGAAAGCTCCCATTTTACAGTGAAATTCCACACATAACTCTTACTTGAACAACGCTTATAGGGTATTGAGTGACTTATATTGGATTCTGTGTGCCTTATGATAGTTGATAGTCCTGCACTCAATTTACCAGGGGTGAGGCTGGGATGTTCCAGACTTGATTTTCTATCATTTTCGGCACAATTACTGGGCAGTGTGTACGTTCTTGAGCTTTTCAGTCCCTAATCCTGGCCTTCTTGTTACTGAAATTTAGTTTCAGATATTTGCTTCGTTTTGCTGTAATGGTATCTTCCGAGTGCTTGGTTGTATACATGAGTTTTTTTGTCGAGCAGATGTGCCTCGAGGGTTTATGTCCTTTTTTCTCTCATCTAGACGCTGTTTCTTATACGTGAGTATTTAGGTAATTATTCGTCTGCTTTTTTTGCTCTGTCGTCCCTGACAGCTGCATGCTTTGCTGACGATTGCACGATGCTTGATGCGGCCCGCCGTCTATCGGTATTTTATTGTCCTTGTTTGAAGTGTTGTTTTTAGTCATCTGGAATAGTCGCTGCAGCTTTTGATCGCTATGCGTCGTCCGTCCGTCCGGTCGTATGCGAGCGTCCGTCCGTTCCGTCGTCGGTGTCGTCAACAGTTTCGGGCCAAATCTAACGGCCTCGATCACGTCGTTCTTCGGACGTGGGTGGGGGCGGGTATCCGAACGGTTGGTGATGTCCTGTCGAGCTGGGGGTCAAGGTAAAGGTCAAGAGGTGTAAAGAATGGGGAACATTCACTTATTGAGGTATAGGAGGCAGCGTAATTGCGGCACAAATCTACGGCTCGATCTGGCTCGGTGATAGTTGGTGTATAGCATCTGGGAGGGCATCACTGTGTGAATTGGTGGTCAACCAGGTATGGGGACAGGGCAGTTTTGACATTTTCTTGGAATGGTCTACGCGGATTGTAACTGTTTTGTGGTTCAGGGTGACCTAGCATTTGTTTATGGCTTTAGTGAAGACCATGAATCTCCTTTCTGCTGACTTGCTGAAGTGTAAGTGTCGAGTAACTTTTGACCCTCAGTGGGGTTAACATGGATTTGTTGAATGTCTGTTTGAAAGATTTGCTGGGGTTTGCTAGTAGATCGTTACCTGGCTGGATGTTGGGTACTTACACTGTCACGTGATTTCAAAGCTACAATTTGGTTAGAGGTTTTGCTCCTTAAATCGTTTATTTCTATGGCATTCCGTCTGTCGTATGTTATGTACCTTATGCCCTGCAGTGGCTCTGCCAGTGCATGTGTTGGTTGTACTGTGTATTTTTGCCCACTGCGTTAATTGGTTCAGGTGGCGTTCTTCTTATTTATACTGAGCTGTAGGCTTCCTGGTAATGGTATGAGTGCTTACCTTTTCTGTCTTGCATCGTTTGTTGCTACTCGTCCGCATGGCGACTTCATCTTTTATCTGAGCACTTTTAACGTCGCGCATCTCGTTGGCTCTTTCATACATCCAAAGAACATCTTTGGAAGGTTCCTGCTACCTCTGCTGATTCCACTGTTTCGCCGTGTTATGTGCACTTCGGGCTACGGGTTTTCTAGATCCACTCCAACGGTACCGCCGTAGCGTTTGACATGGGCGTGTTGCTCGCCGGACTTGTTTGGGGTTATGAATGAAGTTTAATATGAGTCTTTGCTAGACAATGTTTATTCTTGCCGACACCAGCCCAGATAGCCCCCATGTCGCTCGTGCGGCTTGTGCCATGTTGTAAACCTAGTCAAAACTCCAGGTCCTTATTCTGCACTGCAGTGATGCTGTGTATTTATGTAGCATGCCCGGTATCTTTGTACGAATCTGAACCACTGAAGTGCCGACCTTTTACGATCCCGTATATCGCGAAGTTCCGTTTCTGCCGCCTGGCTCAGTTGTTTCGCTGTCTCTGAATGCACGCGGGTCTCCTTACTCAGGCGTGCGCGCGCCAGCGCCTTATTTCGTCCGTAGATGTCACAGCACAGATCAGTTGAGGGGGCCTGGGAGGTGTAAATTGGAGGGTATTTGGTAATGAAGGATGCACCGTGTGGTGCCTAGGCCGGGCGTTACTTTGTGAGCTGTCGGCTTCAATTGGTTTGATTGTTGATTACATGTGCTAAATTTCGCCCTCCTCTCTTCTCGCCTCTCCTTCCCCTCTCTATCCTCGCCCTCTCCTTCCTCTTCCCTCTCTCCTCTATATCCCCCCCCCCAGTAGCTTCCTCCTCTCTTTTGACGCCTCACTCTCTCATCCCTCGCAGCCTTCTCTCTTTTCGCTTCTCTTTTTCGTTTTCCCCCTTCCACGCCCCTCCTTTATACCCGCTTCCTCCATCCCCCTCTCTCTCCCTCCCTCCGCCGCCATCTCGTGTACTATTTAGGATTAGATATTTTCCAAGCAATTGC